TTGGTATAGATGTAGAGGATAGTCTGGAAGAACACATAGGCTACTCACTTTTGTTTTTTTTATTCCACGCGGACGTAGTCGCGGTCGAAAGTAATGTTAAAATACAACAATAGTGAAAATTAATCGTTTCCGTTTACAGTAAAGACAGTTAAGTTACTCCCTTCCGTTACAACTGTTTGGCATGCTACAACGTCATTATTAACCGATGTCAGCGGGCTATTTATTACAAAAAAAGATTTAACTGCTCATATTCCACAGTATTTTTGTCACGGGTCACTAGGCGACATTACAAACGCAACTCGATTATTTTCCTGAGAATTGAAATTTATGTAAAACCGTTGCTTAACATTTATGTGCTCCTCGATGGGTCTATTTTAAATAAATCCAGTAATAGGTCGGAATTTGTTTGTTGACATGCGTTGGACGATATTTTAATTACGATATTTTTCCTTACCGCACATTGTACGCGGTAACTGAGTCTCCTCACAATGCTTTTTTACATCGACCGATAATTTTGCGAGAATTCCCGCATCAGATATAACTACTGAGTTATCGACTTATGATACTATGCCCTTTTGTCACATAATCTTGATTAAAGACTCCTTAGACTTAAGATGCCAGTTTCATATGAACAAAATCAAATTAAACCATTCAATTGAATTAACTTCTAAATGTTAACGCTATCGTTTCCTTAATGAAATAATGAAGTGAGCCTTAATTTTAAGTGTTATGATAATAGTTTTAATTTCGTCGGATGCAACTTTAGAATGTTGTGTATTGTTAATGTTTGTGTTAAGCTATAAGGTTTTATTGTTTTAATTAAACTACTTATTCAATTTAAGAATAAATAGAAATCTATTTTTTACCTAATAACGTCTTGCAATGAACGCTCCATTGCGTGTAGCAAAATTAGAGCGTGACTAATTTTAAGCAGATTAAATAAAGAACTATACAGTAACGTAAGTAACAACTGCGGAAACAAAATATCAGAGCATATTTCCATATCTTGTATTCTCTTTGGATAAACAGTGTGTTATTTTTTGTAAGGTTTTATATCGTACTAGCTGTTCCTGCTGTCAAAATGACGTGACATTACAAACCTTGGCAATCTTGATTCCTTGATGTTGGCAGCAACTTATGGTATCTTTCCCACAGTAGGGTTTTTATCCAAAATATTTAACCCCAATTTTAATGGCACGAAAAAATATAGCTTAAAGCGTGACGTGGCTTTTTATTATAAAATGAACATTTTTTTTATTATAATAAAAACCAACAAAGAAGTGTGTGTTTACACTTTATTATAACAGTATAAAATATAAATAAACAGATAGATATAGAAATCCTCAATCCATGATCGTAGATTTACAAGGATTATCTTAATAATCAAGATTATAAAAAGCCTACTTAAGATATATTTAAGATATATTTATTCATTACGTTTTTTCCTAAGTTGAAATCAAGTAAAAAATATATATAATGAAGAAAAGAAATGAAGAGAACGGATATTGAATGTAAACAATTTCCGAAAGCTTTCATGGCTGAACAGTTTTCATTTAATATGAAAATATCAGTGAAATAAATTCGATCATAAAATGTATTGCTTATTTTGTTAGGTATCGTCCTATTACATATGTTATAATTTTTTTTACAGTCTGTAATTCTAAAAGGGCTGTAAAACAAAATAATAGATTTCGCCAGCGACTCCTATGTGTTCTTCCAGACTATCATTTACGTCTATGCCAAATTTGACCGAGATCGGTTCAGCCGTTTATGTTACAAACTCTAACAATCATCCATCCATCTAAACTTTCGCATTTATAATATTAGTAAGATATATTAATCTCGATTTTTCTATGTCCATATATTTAGGACCACATGCTAGTGTGTTGCGACTCATGTCTCCTTTACTTCAACTTATGTTAGTGATTAATAGTTACCAATTTAAGTTACTAGAGTAAAGGTTTCTCTTATAGCTGGTTAAAGTAATTTGGGAATTTCTCTGGATTTGAAGCCATGTTAAAATATAATTAGAATAGTTAAAGAGCATCTTGTTTATTCGTTCAATTCTAGAACGAGTTGAATAAATTGAATACGTTAATATCCGTGTGCAAATTGAAAGCTGTATGTTTCCTTGTTCCGCGAAGCACCCGCACCCTAACTTTAATTGCTTGCTAAATTAGTTTTGTTATCAATATTTGAACAGAATTAATTTCGTAAGATCTTTCCTCGACTTTCTCTGATGCTGTAAACTTAATATGTGATTCTTATTATATTTATTTTATTGCTTTATATAATTATAATTAATTAATGAACCTCAAGCTTTTAAGAGGGAAATGAGATAGTTAGAATAAGGGAAAAATGTATTTAATCGTTTTAATCTTACTTATATCATTAATGCGAAAGTTTAGATGTATGGATGTTTGCCTAGCCTTAACTGCTGAACGGATCTCGATGAAATTCGTCATAAGTGTTGATAGTCTAAGGACCTATTAATAGCGTTAGTACCATTATGTGGAAAGTGTTGCGTATGTGTATGTATTGTACGTGTTTCCGAACTGGCGACTATGCCCGCAATCTATGTGACAGCTACTTACATAGTCTGGGCTAAGCAAGCTATCTTTCAATACTCCCAATACGTTACAGTGGCGACGAGGATGGGATCCGAACCGCGTACAGAGCACATTGGATTAGCATTGTATTGTATCAAGTGAAGTGTGAACTATGCCACCTCTACACATTTTTGTCTGTGGTCTGCAGTTATCAACAACGCGAATACATCATGTTCACTGATTTTTTCTCAATATTACAGACACTCAAACTTTTTTATTTGTAGATGTAAATAAATGATATTGTAATAAAACAACAGAAATATTTCAATGTTTTATTCTCGGTACATTCAAAGCTTATGCGGGTGCTTTTAAGTTACACTTAAGTATTATTTACATCTTATTGAAGTAATAGCAGCGGTATGTTCAAACTTCGGTATCTAGCACAGTCAATAATTATTGAAAAATGATTATGCACCAGAAAAAATATAGTCTTTACATTCATAAAGCAATACAAAAGCCTTATTTCGTTTAACATTAGGGCGGGAATACACATGCCAGGAAAATGTTCACGCGATCGTAGGAGACGTGACATCAGTGTCAATGGCACCCTCTCCACCCCTCCCTCGACTTACATGCCCTTAGTTGTCAAAAAAACAAATATCGTGCTAGCTACTTGCTTTAACCAGTAACCAGTAAGTGTGTTCCCGCCCTTAAAAAAAATTTTACTGTAAAAAATACATAGTTTCTTAAGACAGTCCTAATTTTGTCTAACAAAATGTTTAACGTCCAAAATATCACATGGCATTGCAATTGTTTTACGTCGTGATAACCCTACTAATAATTAGCAATTAAAAATTAAAGTACGGTGAACAGAATAAAATCATTAGAAAGATGTAGATAATAAAATTGAAAAGATAAAATGGTAAAATTGAAGAGGATTTTGGTATAAATCAAGATAATGGGTAAAATGAAAGCGACTCTTTGTATACATGCATTTTCACCTAACGCTAGCGTAAAAAACAGTGCATTGCGATCGAAATACACCGACATATTCTCTGTCAAAAATATAAGTTTTCATTTCCCTCCCTACAAAACGTTATTTTAAAATTAGTTTTCTATCTAATATTAAATTTAGACATTTCGTCAAAGACATCCCAGTCAACTAGAGCACAAAACAATCTGAGTTTTTAAATACAATTTTGTATCTGGATCATTGGAATTTTCACGATATCTGTTTACGAAATATCTAAATTTAACGATAATCTTAAATAAGTTGCGATATTGTCGGCATATTTTACAACTACCCTCAAATTATCTTAGACATAGTATATTCAATTATGAATAGCATCACTTCAGTCAGATATACACAATTCATCACATTAAGGCGGAAATACACATACCAGTAGGCATTCCAGCGAGTGGCATGTATCGGTATTTGACACGTGCCAGCGACTGGCACTATGCGTTAGCACATTAAATTAAATTGTTTATGAGATCGTATGAATAGAGGCCTGTCAGTGACAAATTTCATATCCCCGTAGTTCTATCCCTCAACTTACTTGGTTATAACTGTCTCAAAATCAAATACAGTAGCTGGTACGTGCCCAATGGGATGTGTATTCCCGGCCTTAGAATTTAAATTAAATAAAGCTAGATTTAAAACGTTTTGATAAGAATGTGCTCCGAAAGAGGCGCAGTTAACTTTGGTATCATATTGTCTTTAGAATTTTTCTCTTTTCTATGCATACACTTTTTACCTTTAAGTCCGATTTCAGATTTGTTATGTATCGTCTTGATTTGCGATGTAATTGAAGGACCACGTTTTTTAATTTTACACGTTTTGATATTACACGCTGCACTGTTTGTTTTACCATTGCTGTTAAGGTCTTCCTTTATATTCTTTTTTATGGTTTTATCTTGGTTATCAAACAAAGGTGGTTCTTTTTGCATCTGATCTTGGTTGACTGTCCCCATTTCTATAAGCAGCTGTGTATGGTCGAAACATTTTGTTGTCTTCTGATAAGGAGAAAAAATTTATTTTATTATTTACACAATGCGCAACAAAATTAAAAATTGTTTTAAAGTGTTCTAGTTGTAAATTAACTGGATAAGTATTTCTGAAAAGTGACTGAAAAAAACTACGATTAAATATCCTACCCTGTGTCGATGGAAATACAGTTCCAATTTCTACTTACTATTGGATTCACAGCTTTACTGTATATCTGAACTCGGTCTTCTAACTCTATTTTAAGTCGCCATTCTCTTAAATACATATGAGCAGCTGCCGTACTGGGCCAACCTCTCCTCCATGTGTGCCATCTAAAAGTGAAAGGAATTAAAATATATTCAAATTCCACTTTAAAAAGTAATTTCGTTTCTTCACAAACCTTGTCAAAAGTTGTAACGTCCTCGACTTCTGTCCCTGCCTCCTGAGCATCAAAGCGGCTGATCGATATGAAATGAGGTCGCCTCTAATCAAACTTTCAATATTTCGAGTTTTAAAAGTTAGCCGCATCGCTTCTAGGTAGTACTTTAAGGCTAATTTAAAAATACCTGAAGGAAAAAGCATTAGTACTCAGAAGTGTTGTAAAAGAACATTTTAGAAGTTACGTACGTTTAAATATTGAAAACATTAAGCATTTGAATGTTTCTGAAATAAGTAAGATAAGAATTAACCTTTTTCTCTAAGCCAGTTTCCGTATAAAACGTAATATTCCCAATTATTCGGCTCCAGTTGCACTAATTTTGACAAAACCTTTTGCTTCTCCAGTTCGGGTATCATTGTGAGTAACTCTACATGCGCCTGCACGAATTGTGGCCGCAACATCACGCATTTCTCCAGCATTCTTATCGCCATGTTTGTACGTCCACTTTTCCTAAATAAACAAAAAAAAACCTTAATTTCCATTTTACATATCATTATTTGGAGTTAATTATTACTAATAATGTTAGAGACAGAAAGAAACTGTGGGAAACTAAAGAAAACAAATTTAGCTTAATCGTAGAAATAAATAAAATGAATGTTAGGATATCAGTTTTCAAATGCATACGTCAAATTAAATTTAAATATTCATCATCAATCTTCGTAAGTATTGGAAAATGATAAATTACCTGAACTTGAAATGTTCAATAAGATCTATGCTAATATTATAAAGAGGAAAGATTTGTATTCATGATAACTCAAAAACTATTGGGCCGATTTCAAAAAATCTTCCATCATTATCAATTGTAAATTGAATTTCGACATCCTGGTTAAGAAACGTATAATTACTTTGACATTACTTGTACAACTTCCCGAGATTGTAGTGCGCGTTGACGTGGTGCTTGTTGAACCTGATGGCTTGCAGGAAGTGCTGCTCCGCGCTCTCCGCGCCGCTTACCAGCGTGCCCAAGTTGTTGTGCGCGCTAGAGTACGTCGGCCATAGCCTAATGGATTATTATTATTATTTAAATCGATATATTTTGAGAGCACATTGATTAATAATTATTCATTTAATAAAGCTATATCTTATTTTGGCAAAAAATAATTAACTATTTACTTGTTAAATATGCATTCTTATAAAATAAATATTAACGGATGAGATAAGTTCAAAATTTAAAACGAGGATTCATAGAAATCAAACCAGAAACAAAGATCAATTAAAATTATCTGAATCTAGAAATTATGGCTAAACTATAACATTTTCGGGAGTACAGTTATATAATACTTTACATAGACATATCAGAAATGAAAACAAAATGTCGTTATTTAAAATTAAAGTGAAAATATTTGAAATAAAAAAAAATAACATTTTAATGTATATGATATGTAATGTTTATAAACTAAAATGGTGTACTGGCGTAAAATATGAATGTAATATGGTAAAAAATAGTTTCTCGTCGAGTAAATTTATGTAAATTCTTAAGAAAAAGAAATGACATATACAAATTCTGCAACTGTATGTATCCTACATATTTTATTATCGTAGTGATTAATTCAAAAATATCTTCTGGAATTCAACTTAATGAAATGATAAAATGGTATTGTTAATTTAATCGCGATTTAAATATTTTTATAATTCCTACAATTTAAAATAACCCGTAATGGTTTATGCGAGGGTCGTGCACATTGTTCTGCGGTTTGATCGTTTGCGGAAGGACTGACCGAGCTCATATCGGTGTTATCGCTTCATTAAATAAACGTTCTGGTTTCTTATGACACCTAGTTGTGAATATAATACGAATTATTTGAATTAACTATTCATAAGTCCCTTATACCTTGTATGTGTGGTTTTTACAAACCTTTTCAAATCATCAGCATTATAATAAAAGAAAAGTAATAATCTAGCATTGAAATTCGTAATAATTGTTAAATGTAGTATTCATATAAAAGTGTGCATTTCAGTGTTAGTATAGAAAGTAATACAACTGTAACAGTATTGCACTTCATTACTAATTCTAGGGATCACAAGAATGGCGCGTTTTTTCTTAATACATGTAATTGACAGCTGTCGTAGAGAAAGGACGTGCATGTTAATGTTGTTGAACTAGTGTTGCGCCGCTATACCACATAATATCAATTTTCTTTTCAACTTCTATACTATTATAATAAAGCGTAAACACACACTTCTTTGTTTAAGATGTCAGCAATTACAGCATATTTTTGAATCATATTTTTTTTAATAAAAAGCCCTACATTTACGTCACGCTTTAGACTATACATTTTCACGCCAATAAACTTAGGGGGTAAATATTTTAGATAAAAACCCTAATGTGGAAAAGAGACCATAAGTTGCTGCCTACATGAAGGAAGCAAGATTGCCAAGTTTTGGCATGTCATGTCATTTTGACATTTGCAATTGACAATTTAACAAATGTAAACAACAAAATAAAATTGTCATAATTTCATGCGGATGAAGCCGCACGGGAACAGCTAGTTTATAATATTTCATCTAAACATGTCTTATTTCTTTTAAAGTTTATTAGTATAATATAACAGAAGTGTGTATTTATTTTTAGAGTTAACTAAACTTTCTCTTTAGACACAGTTCGCACACATATCCAATAAAAAGAAAACAGTTTAGTAAAACTTTCCAATACTAGAACAAAACGAAATTCGACAGCAATAAAACATGTCCGTACCTTAAAGCTTCTTTGTAATGTTTGATAGCGTTGTCCTGCTGCTCAGTCTCGCGCAGGAAGTTTGCGAAGTTGTAGTGCAGTTTAGCGTTCTGCGGCAAACTCACTAAGTCCGATCTAAAACAAACAAACACACATTTGCGGTGATTTACACAGAAATCCTCGGGACCGTGGAGCGTTGCGAGGTGTAAATCGCGGTAAACGTTTCTCGCGCCGCTTAATATTGTGACGACGTAATAACATTTTGTGTAGGCAAGCTAATAGCAATAATATTTAACGTATAAAGTAATATTCATTTGTAACGTAAATATAAGTTTATAAGTAACATCTTTACGGTGTACTTGTTTAACTTTAACGGCCGATGAAACACAACTTAAAAAGTTCAACCTTATAAGCTCCGTTTGCTAAAATTGCTAAAATTTTAATGGGATTAAGATTTTAAGTGTGGCCTTGCCAATAAAGATGCTATACACATGTAAATATCGTTTCACTATTCGACCTTTAGTTACTATTTGGTCAGTAAGAGAGTCCCTAAGTATATAATTAGCATGACAAATCGACAATAACTTTATTTATAAAGATTAAATTAATTTATTTAACATACAAGATTTTAAAGCTAAAATAAAATAAACCCTAATATAAGCAAATTACAGTAATATTTAGCATTGAAATTGCGATTTATTTCGCTAAATAACATTGCCTTTCGCGACTTCAGTGACAGTTTTTGTCGGTATAATAAAGATTATGCGGACAAAACCTGTCATGTCATTATTTGATTGAGTTGACACATGTCAGACGAGTCTTACTTACGATTATTTCAAATGTAATACAATTTCGTTTTATTATTTGAATATTTTTACATGTATATTTAGAATTTAATTTTTCACCATTATTAATTTATTTATATAACTAGCTGTTGGATGCGACTTCGCCCGCGTGAAATTAAAAAAAAAAATAAAAACATAGCCTTACACACTGATAACGTAGGTTTTAAATGTTTTTTTTTTTAAATCGGCCCAGTAATTT